AATTTTGCGTCGATTTATTATCCACAATAGCTACATCTGTCATATTGAGACAGAAAAGACATAAGTTGCAAAATTATGGTGGTAAAGGAAGCGCTAGAACTATTTCCTCTTCAGAGGGACCTACATAGGCTAGTGATCTAAAATATTATATAAATATACTACACTCACGTTGTGACCACCAGACTTCGGACCCCTAAGTAAGCACTTTGATCTTGCACGTAAGCACCCTGTAGATGTTGTTATACTCGGTATCTGCCAGAATGGACTGGTAGGCGTCCAGAAGTCACAAGGAACTCATAGAAGGCAAGTGGATTTTAGCAAAGCATTCTTTTAAGGCACCAACGACTTTACTCGCAGTTTGCATCTTGTCTAGCAGGTAGCCAATGTTCATGTATACTATTTGGAGGGTTGCTACCTAGCCTTGAGTTTAACTCAGTGTAATACTTCACATAAGTAACAGATACTACCAGTTAACCAACATCAACTTGCAGAGGACGAGCACATGTTAGTTTTCTTTTATGAACTTTAACAGTACAAATAATCTGTTGAGGTAAGTTTGTTTTTTTCTTCCCTTAGACAGAAACTTGTTGTTCATTCATTCTTACAGTTAGATTAAGTATTTAAGATATGTCATTATCACAAGTCAAAATAATAAATTAGCTGAGTCATATTGTAATTTGTTTATATTAATTTTTTCTGCACAATGAATGCTTTTAATTGTTAGTTATTAAAGCGTGTTAGACGAATGAATCGGTAACTGTTAATATCAATTATGTGGGGTTTTAGTGTGATTTGTGAAAAAGGATTTGAAACCAAGCAGTTATACAATAATATTTTCTGTGTAAGGTACTGTTACAAACAGCTGCTTGAATATAGTAGGTCTAGGAATAACCGAGAACCCTTTTTTCATAACAATCTGTTTTCTTGTCATAATTCGACTAGCAGTATCGCCTAAATGCTTAATAATATGTACTGTTATATCTAACCTAATAAGATGTATATTTGTCTTACTCCCACGTTGGCATTTATTAGAATGCAGTAAAGTCGTTTAGTGTTAATAAATATTAAAGCCGAGGAAATACGTTACTATCTGTTTAGCGCACATAGACTTAGCTTACCGGCATCCTAGTGGATCGTATTATTCCAATTAAAACTCGTAACCATCACACCTATCTCCTAAGTGTTATACAGTCAGTTAATTATTCTTGGAAGACATTTTTGGCAGAGCAGATGTAACTTGCTTTTCTTTTTTAGATCTTGTAATTCCTCTGTTGTTGTTACTGCATCACACCAACCAACTTCTGTGTATGTATATGTATACCTTTGTACGGTTACACTGAAGTTAACTAGGTTCTCAGCAACCTAACCGCTTCATTTTATTTTCCATGACTTCATCAAATTTTTCATGAAATGATAGATAAAGTGTATGAGGACTGGAATACTGACATATTAAAATTTTTTTTAATTTTTGATTACAGCTTGATTCCACACAGTACTTTTTGGTACAAGTATGGAATTTCCAGCATGTGATATCGATAGCCCAAATTTCGCAGGCCAACCATTGATATCGGGTGTGCGTCGGCAGGGGATCGAACCTCGGACCATGTGCATGATCGGCAAGAGTCCTAACCACTGTGCCACCGACGCACATCTTGACCAGTAGAGCTAATGAACCGACAAGGCAGTTCATCAGGGTGTTATATGTGAACTTAATTATATTCCTATGAGGTTATAATATCCTGTGTACCTTTCATAGGGAACCTAATTATTTTGTAGGCCGTTCAAGTTTTTCTTTGTTTCATTGCAAATATTGGAACCTCAGCGTTAACTATCAAGCTAAATTTGTAGTTGGTCTTAAAAGTAATTTGTATTATTAACCGTTCACAAATACTCATTTTTCTGTTCAAACTCGTCTTTGTTCAGTTAAAATATATGGTAGGTATATAGCTCAAATTTCTTCACCTAGTTGTTTCAAGCATGTTAAACCTGCGTCCAGTAATGAGTTCAATGAAATAAGTGTAAAATAAACTGAAGTAAATAAGTAGTTTCGTTTAGCGCTGACTGTGACAAAGAATTACCTGTTAAAGTTTTGCATTCCTGTCAATTAATTGCACTTTTTCTGATCCTTTGTGGTTTTGTGAAGTAAAATAAATCAGTAGTCATTATTTTTAGCAATCAAATACGGGTATCTAGAGATGAAAAATTCGAGTTTGCCACTTGTAAACGCTTGTGGCAAAAAAAGAGTGCATTTCTGTGTCTCATATTCCAACATCTGTTTTTGTATCTATGTGGCTGATTTTAAGGTGTAGAGATGACAACAACAACTATTGTAAAGTATTTACGATAGCAATCCAAAATTATCTTTCTCAAAGGTTATTTTGTTGGTTTCCTCGTGAAATGTTCTTTTGAGATTTTTTTTCTGCTTACTGGAACCAAAATGAAATTAAAAATCCCTATTCAGTTGACAACATTAACTAACGAACTATCATTCCACCTTATACATGTACCCAAATAAAGTTTCTGAAATAATTTTCACTTGCCTTTATCGGCCTTTTGTATCCTAATACCCATGGATTGAATAGGAAAATGAACAAGTAAAATTAGCTATGCTGTTAGACTGTAAAATAAAACGAATAGAAGAAGGCGAACTACACACTAGTGTTTATAGAAAACCAATTCATTCTAATAGATATTTAGACTTCTCTAATTCATCCCATCCGTTAACTGTTAACGCAACCTTAGTTAAGTGTTTAACAAACCGAGCAGTAGCACTATGTACTACAAGAAAACACCTAAATGATGAACTAAAACAGACAGAAGAGGAGTTGGTGTTCAATAACTATCCTTTAAAATTCATTAGGAAGATTGAAAAAGGCCAAACGAAAAATAAAAATAATTGTGGAACTAGTAATAATAACGCAAATAAGAGAGAATACAAGTCATCTACAGTTATACCATATAAAGAGGGGACATCTGAGACACTCCCTGCGTAGGATTCTAAATAAAGCAGGAATTAGGGTGGCATTTAAACCCTTCTACAAACTCACTCAGGGACAAGCTGTGTAGGTTAAAAGACCCTATAGGTTGACCCAATTAGACAAAATAATATAATTTACACAACACCCTGCAATGACTGTGAGCTAAGTCAACTACATAGGTCAAACTAGTAGGTCAGGGGTAGTCAGATTGTCGGAACATAAGAATTTAGCTAAGGTAAGAATGGTTGACCCTGAAAAGATAAGTAATTTAGAAGAAAGCTCAGCAATTGCACTGCATGGATGCATTAACACCCAACCACACTATAGGGTGGGTGGGAGAGGGTTGAAATTCTAAAAAGTAATCTAGGTAGGTAGAGAGAGAGGTTGATTTCTGAATCCTTGTTCATCGAGTCTACACCAAACACATGCAAAATGGAAAATACTACTGCCAATCAAATCAAGTGAAAAATAATGAAGTTAGGAAGTCGTGTGAATACCTCGATATGATTATGAGCAATAAATTGTGCTCGAAACGTCATCAGTAAACATTACTGTATAACACTGTGAGACTTTATCAAAACAAAAATTTACCCATAATAGAATCGAGTAATGAATTTTGAGAGCTTATTACTGTTCTTTTTCTCTGTTGAATAAAAGCTGGATATTTGATGTGCACTTCAGCATATCAGCTCTTCGATAATCCTTAGTAGGTATGCCTCATTCAATCCGATTTAAAATCAACGATTTATGCATTCTCATTTGGCTAAAGTAATGTATCAAGTTGTGATCAAATATGGGATATGGTCTGCAACAACGCAACATTCATATGTATTTTTATACTTTACACTTGTTGGAATAGTGTCTTAAAAGGATGTCTTATGTCTTGAAAATGATACTTAAAGTAATATAGGTGAAAGTTTTAGTTTGAAATTGATTTACCTAGCATGTTTTCTTTTCAAAATTTCCATTATCTTGTAAAGGAGTAGAGTTTTTCTACTGCCTTTGTATAATTTATGCGATCCTCTAGTCAATGAGATCTACTCTGATTTCTTTTGGTTAATTTGCTGTTTTGGTACGTCACTAGAGTGAGATCGATTAAGTTTGAGTTCAGTCTGTAAATTTTATATTGATATACTACTTGGGAAATGTGAGGATTACTGTTTTTCTTGACTTAATTTATTGTTATAATCATAGTCCTACGCTGAGGAATATTTCTGTAACTAATAAAACTGACTATTATTCACTTTTCAATGCTATTATCGTTTGCTTTATGCACACACACACCTGCTATACATTGTATATTAGAGAGGAAATACTTCTTCCACGGTGACTACAAGCGTTTCTATGTTTTTTGTTGTGCTTGTTGTTAGTGAGAACTTAATTATCTGGAATAGATTTCTGATATACTAGACTACGCATAATGTGAAGGCTGATGATACTTTTCAGTTGCCCATGTTGAAGTAGAGCGGGATTCAAACCTAATAGCTGAGAGTAGTCAACTGCTAAAACCAGTGAACTATGTTTCCACAATGTTCGTCGAATTAAATGACTGCAGTTCATTTGGTGTTCCAAAACCTATTACTCAATATGAAAAGCTTACTTTTACCACCGCCTAGAAATATTATCACTGTTCAATTTACTAATTGTAGGTTGATGTGTTTTTTTAGAATCCATCGATTGACATACTGATCACCTAAAGAGTTCAGGCGATTAAAGTTATAATTTGTTATAGGATATCCAATAGGTGTTTCAGGTGGTCGCTTGATTAAATATTTCTACTATTTATATGTATGTAGAAATAGATTACATAAATAAATAAAATTAAATTGTCGAATGGGTTTACTTAACGAAATTGTGACAAGTAAAAGCTCACACTTTACTATTATTTGAAAGGAATAAAGTATGCGAATTTGGGTCATCATTCTAAAAGTCACATCTTAAACAGCTTTTTGTCATCTTTCATTCTACTACTCAAACAAGTTGACATTCCCATCTTTGAAATAGCTACACTGGCTTGAATTTATTCTTGGGCTATTTGGTAGCCTACTTCTACAGATTTAAGTAATCAAAAGAGTTTTACTAAAAGAATTGGAGAAATGCTTTTGTAGTGATTTATTTTGAAAATAAAATAAAACTAATAATTCAGTATATTCCATTCCTACCACCATCTCTATGATGTCCATGAATAATTTTGTAGAATAGGTTAACATTGGCGCTGTCGCGTTTGACATAAGTGATTCAGTAGCGTCAGATTTGCCTGAAATGAAATCAACTTGAATTTTTTATCCACGCCTGTTCGCAGTAATCTCAACTAGGCAGTCATACCACTGCTATGCCATCAGTGTATGTTTTCTTCACAGTACAGATTGCACTATCTTAACATACATTATAGATAATCCTGTCCGCCTTTCAAAGGAGAGAATCAGTGATGTTCCTAACGCAAGAAAAATTATTGAACATAGTTGATTCACTGCTGCTATTTCATAGCTTGTAATTGTATAATTCACTGTTATTAAAAATCTACTGCCTGTTCCACGTGTTTACACATCCCTTGTTTACAACCATTTTACATCCATTTTCTTCCTTACTTGTGCAGTTAAATATTTGAAGGTATACGTTGAAAACAAAATCAAAACAAAATACAAATTTTCAAAAGATTTTTGTATATTTATGAGGGAATAGAATCTTTAGTTCTTTTTTTTCCTTTAGCATTGTTATTCTTTGTTTTGCTTACCTGCTACTCCCCCTTCCAGCCGTACATAAACTACTAAATTCTGGACTGAATTGGTTATATTTATGTATGGACCTAATGGTATCGATAAGTGTGTCTAAGTTTCTTACATGGTTTATATTTATGTAAATACATATTATTTTGCACCTTTAAAAAGTATGTTTGCTAACAGATTCAATAGATAAATTGTATCTCAATGAATGGGTGGATTATGGATTTATGCGGGGAAGCTCCTGTATATTACAATGAAGTTATTTTTTTTTTATTAGTCTACACGTATACTTTAACTTGGTGATGGATGATGCGTCTAATTTTGTAAACACCGTTTCTGTCAAGTAGCGTGATGTACATTCTACTCTATATTAATTAGATAAATAAATATATTTAGTGCCTATATTTTGGTTGATAAACTACTTGTAGATTTCGCAGTATTTACGACACACTTCGCCAATTCATTATCACTGTTCTTTTATATGACACTGATTAACTAGTTGAGCCTAGAAACTGGAATTCTAAATGCCGTATTTATTACTAGTAATAATGATAGATGTAAAAGTGAAACCAACCCTTTTTCAGTTTTAAATAAGACGAGGATCAAGTTACGCCTAATCTAAGTATTTTTATTTACATACTGATGAAAGGCACTAAAAAACACCAATAACCTAATACTAATGGCTTTTTTTCTCCACAGGTGCCCGGTCGTCACATGGGTGATATATGTGCATTATACTATTCTATAGCTGCACCTTTCAAAGCAGGAAATAGAAGTAAATATCATAATGAACTGATTGAACAGTGTTATTCTCGAGCTGTTCGAGCCGGCTTAGTTACATGCCGCTGGCAAAAATCTTCATCTATAGAAGAAACACTAATTAACACTCCTAAACCTGAAGTGATTGAAGACCCTTTAGAGGGTGAAATCAAATCATTTTTAGTAAATTTGGTTGGTGCTTCAAAAGCTACCGAGTTACTTGGTAATGGATTGCTATCTTCACCACAGTCTATCGAAAAACCAATTATCCTTCATTCTCCTGAAAAATCTACACAAAATGTTTCTCCCTCGTCTCCAATCGAAGGTTCATCAGCTTTTGTTAGACTAGACAATGACTTGAGTCCAACCACAATGCCTACAACAAATGACTCTCAGACAAGCAGCTCCGAAGTATCCTCGCAAAATGACAGTGATTCAGTATGTCAAGGAAAGTAAGTTCTCCATCGATTTTTTTATTGCCTTCAGTTTATTTATTTTTTTTTTTGAAAAGATTAATTTTTAGAACATTAATGATGCTAATCTGATGGAAAACGACTATCACAATCATTGTTCATACTTCCCTGTTTCCATGATTTTGATACAATAATAAAGGTAACTCTCCATTCACTTTAAAACTACTGAGTTTTGTGAATCGTGGTATTAACCGTGTGTGTGGGGTGGCATAGTGGTTAGGACTCTCGCTGACCACGCACATGGTCCGAGATTCGATCCCCTACCGACGCACACCTGATATCTATGGTTAGCCTGAAAGATTTAGGCTACCGATATCCATGCTAAAAATTCCATACTTGTACCAAAACTACAGTGTGGAATCAAGCTGTAATCAGAAAATAAAAAAATAAAATTAGTTTATGCCAAGTAACATGATTGTATCATTTGGACTGAAATTAACTGCCATTCGGCTGTTATTCAAAAGACAGGGCTATGAATAAGCCAGCATTTATATACTTTTATTCGAATTCATTTTAATAGCCTGGCAACATGTTGCTTACGTGGATTCTGTGACTAGTGACACGATAACGTTGCTTTGCAGTTTCCTACATTGTGCTTTAAATTTCATTTGTTGTAAAGAGGAAACTGGTTCGTGCCAATGTGTACTAAACATTATTCCTAGTAGGGGGTTAGTGTATGCACTATTTGAAAAAGAAAAACGTTTGTCATTTTCTCGTCTCTCTTTCTTTCGAGTAGGTGGAAATCTTCACCGAAGTTTCACGTCTATGAACATTTGTAAGAAACATCATAAGCTAAGATAACAAAGTCCATAATCTGCAAGAATTTGTATTTCAAAATGCATTTCAATTGATTGAATATACGTGAAATATGACGTTCGAGTGATAATTCATCATTCAGTGAGATGAATCGTCGTAAAATGAGAACTACTAACTGACTCCACCGAAGTTATATATGTCCTGAAAGAAAAAAAATTATCATCAGTGTTAAAAGTGGAACAATAGAATTAATATTTTTATATTGTATAATATCTATATAAAACAAAATTATCATGTCGTATCTTGTGTAACAAGGTTACTATGTATGTACTAAAGCTAGGACAAAAAAAACAACGTGAGATGACATCGATTTACAATTAGGCGTATATAACACCTCTGACCATCAGATATGCGGTTATTTTTTATTACTGAATGTGAAAGTCAATCTTAATCCATTGTGTAAGTTCTCTGGCCACATGTGATAATAAGTGAACTGCTACATGTATTCGTAAGTCTGTTAAAGTTGGATAATACATATAGGTTGATAACCTGTTTAACACAATGTGCTGTAAAAGATCTTATATCCAATTGACTTTCAACCAACTGGTTTTGGGTAGAAATCCTGCTTTATCTATTTCAGCTTGGACAAATGAATGTTACCGTAGCCTGTATATTAACTGAGTTCTAATTGCTTGAGCTAGAGAATTATCATCTAGTAACCAGTTTGTAGTCATAAGTTGCTAAGGCATTCAGTCTCACGTTACTTCCACCTTTTTATTTTATTTTTAAATGATGCGGGATGAATATATGTCAATAGTGATATTAAGGTCATTTATTTTTTAGACAAAAATATCAGTCTGACTGTCTGTGTTCATCTCATCTGCATGAAATAAAAATAACTAAGATCTATTGCTTCATCAGCAGTTTTTATAAGGTTATAAACAACGACTAGCTGGAATGCATTTTACTTATTTATTATTTTAGTGTGTGCATCGGTGGCATAGCGGTTAGGACGCTCACCGGCCATGCACATGGCCTGGAGTTCGATCCCCGGCCACAGGACGCACTCCTTTACCTCGTTAAGCCAGTAATAAAGCTGGTAAAGAGGAAAGGTTGGGCATGAGTCTAGCGACCCCGTCTTGTAAAATTAAACACTGCTACAGAAACTTCAAGCCACTAACTTGAAGCCCTATGTTCCACTGGGGAACGTGAAGGAAAAAAATTATTTTAGTGTATTGACTTATTTGGAAGTTGGTAAACACCCGTTTGTACTATAATCATACCTTCATATTTTAAGAATGAAGTAACTGTGTCAATTAGTTCCTAATGCGTCATTTATCTCAAGATTGTTCTGCATCATAAGTTGCTTGGAGTTGCAGAATTTTACGGCAAAATTCTCTGTTAAAATATTGTTCTGAGTTTGTTCTTTGAGGCAGTCAGAAGTTGTGTAGAGTTCAGCAACGTTTATCTACGAAGAAACTGTTGGTCAGAGACTTCAAATTTTCCACAGTTCTTCAAATAATCTCGCTGCGTTCTGCTCTGAAAAATGTGTTCCCACTTTACAGTCAGTCATCATCTGTGTAGGAGCTAGCACATGCTTTTGCAGGGGGTATTTGAATTCACAAAGCTACTAACTTGTTCACTTTGTTTCCCTAAATATGGAAACCAGTTGAAATATCACTACATATTTTAGAAAATCAGACATCAAATAAGTATGCCAAACATTTATGTCTAGGCTATTTACAAAGATAATCGTTCAGATAGTTCAGAACAACATTTGCGACCGATATTAATTATTTCTCATCGTAGGAATTATCTCATCATGAAGCGATCAAATCATGGAAGATATTGTAGTTCCCTTGTATTATTTACCCAATGTCTATCTGTCTGTTTTCGACATAGAACTTTGCATCGATGTGCACCAGTCCAAGTCGCCACACTCCCTCCTTGTAGCACACAAAGCAAGAGAAGAAAGTAAAAGAAATGCATGACAGAGATAATAAACAGAGGTGTGAGACAAAGGAATAGTAATAACGAAGAACAATATAGTTTCATTGGAAATCATAAGTTACAAGGAGCGGATGCATCTGCGCCCTTGAGAACGAGGATTTTGAGCCATATCACCAATTGTTTCCAACCATTGGTTTTTAGCGTCCCGAGGACCCCAACCACGAAGTCTACACCTTCCTACGTGACTGACTTAAACTAGCTGTTGTGTATTTCACTGACTGTTTCCATGTTTTGGTTTGACCACCACTAACTCTTTTCCTGCCTGACCCTATATCAGCTAACATTGCCCATTGTCGAGGAAGGCGATGACTAGGCATGCACGCGTAAAACATGTCCTAATCATCTCAATCGATGTAATTTCACAGCCTCGTCGATTGATTTCCCCTCCTTACCTAGTACTTGATGCCTCAACTGAATATTGCTCGCTTCACACGGGAGATAGAGCGCAGGCACCTATGATCGAAGACAGCTAATCTTTTCATGTCTTCCACTCTCAATGACTTGGTCTCACAGCTAGCCATAATGGAGGACTGAGTGGACTGATGAGCAGTACACCCGCCCTTTGGTCGATAGCCGGATATCTCGTTTACGCCAGAGACTGCGTAAACTGGCATATGCGAAGCTAGCCCTGTGTATCCGTACTGAGGTTTCGTCAGAGATCAACCCGTTGGCACTGGCTGATGGTACTTCCCAAATAAGTGACGTGGTCAATGTTCTTTACCACTTCACTGCCTATTTCTAAACTAGGAGTCAGTGTAGTCCAGTCCTGTAACATTATCTTGCATTTGGCGGGGCGAACCGCATGCCAAACATTCGTAGATTGCAGTTCAAGTTGTTCAGAAGACTCTGCATTTTGTCAGAGTCGTCGCCTAGAAGGACTATATCGTCTGCATATTCTAAGTCAACGAGATTATTCCCCGATGGTAACAAGTCAATCCCTGAGCCTCTGAAATGAGTTAGGATTAAGTCCATTAGTACATCTAATTTCCCCAATGTCCCTTTCAATTATAATTATTTCAAATATTCTTCATAAATCTCAATACCAGCACAGCACTCTTGGTTGCCACTTTTTCCAGTATGGATAATATCTAATTTCAAGGATTTCAAAGATCAAAAATCAACGATATTATGTTCTGTTTTACTATGTAGATGAATTAGCAAAGGCATCTAATTATTGTGGTGTAAGTATTTGAGGATGGTCTAAGGTTGTTCGGCCCACTGAAGTTTCTGTAAATCGATGGGTCGAAGGTGAAACACAAACTCGTGCGTTTGTTTCCAGAGGCCATTGACATTAATCGTGCGATGACTGAAGTCTTCGTCTTGCCTTCATTCATCACTCATTCATTACTCTTGATCATTATATTATCCAGTTATTCTTTAGATGAATTTACTTCCAATCGATTTAGTTTAACCTTTTCTATCGGTGTTTATTATAAACAGTTGTATACACTCAAAAATTATATTTTTATAAATCTCAGTTATATTGCAATTGTACGTCGGTAGTACAGTGGTTAGGACGCTCGCTGACCATGCACATAGTCCGGAGTTCGATCCCCGGCCACAGGACGCACTCCTTTACCTCGTTAAGCCAGTAATAAAGCTGGTAAAGAGGAAAGGTTGGGCATGAGTCTAGCAACCCCGTCCTGTAAAATTAAACACTGCTACAGAAACTTCAAGCCACTAGCTTGAAGCCCAATGTTCCACTGGGAACGTGAAGGAAAAAAATTGCAATTAATAATTTCATCGTTTGATTCTTTCTGAGATTTAAACAAAAATAATTTTCAAATAAGTCTCTTTTTCACTTAATGTCTAGTGTTTACGAAACAGTTTGTTCAAATTTTGATTTGACACTAGTAACTAGCGTGGTGTGTCTAGTCCTCTCTTTGGTGCAGATTGAATTCTATCAGTCAGGTTTGTAATGTGACCACCATTCTAGGTAGCTCACCATCACAGCGCACATTGATTTGATGATATTAGATGGTTGGAGGCAATCGGCCACAGGAAGCCTTGTACCTAGGTTTCGTGCTAGTTGGCACTCACCAGTCAGCAAGGCGTATCTGCAACCTTGAAGGAATTCATATCCCTTCTGAGATTCGAACTAGCGTCGCAAAGTGCTGTAGTCAGAGATGTTACCACTAAGCTATTCGGGTTCAAATTTTAATCCAACTTCATTATTTAGCTTTAATGGAGGATGTTTAAACGTTGAACACAAAAATGTTCTCAATATGTCTCATATCATACCATGTTATGTTACACATCAACATGGCGTACCGGTGAAGTTTTCTTGTGATTTTTGTAATAGTCGCTTATTGAAGTGATATTTCTGTTTCTTGTTGTTTCCATTTCCACATCTGCCCGTCCGCCCGGCTTCTTCATCTTACATATAAGTATGAAACTTGGGCAGTTTACTCTCTTTTTACCACTTAGACTGTCAATTGAATAAATAATTTGTAAAAAATTATATTTGTAAAATCTCAGCGATATTGAAATGAGTAATTCCAACGTTTCGTTCGGCAATCTGGTCCGAACTTCTTCAGGGAAATTAATCGAAATTAACATAACAGGTTTATATATAAAAGGAACATCTTTAGTTTTTAAAAAACTTTGTCCAATCATGATTTATAAAACAAATATTAACACAAGTATAATAAACAAAATTGTACGAGTTGTGATCAAAATTTGACCTCAGACTTACAAATATTGATCTACCTTTGTTAAACACTTTAAACACAGTGTGTATGTGTGCGTGTGTGTGCGGATAAACAGTTGTAAAACGATGTCTTAACGTCTCCATAAGTAGATATAGACAGTCAGGAACTTTGACCTAGTATTATTAGTTAGTGATACATACCCATCCTTATTTATTAGTCAGGATTTCCTATGCGTCAGCTAACATCACACCTTCATGTCGGTTCAAACTGTTAGTATCTAGAATTTTATGATTAGACGTATTTTCGAAATTATGGTGTTTAGGATTAGAGTTTAGTTGAAGCACCCTGTCAAACTTATTACTTTGTCTTCTTTCTGAAAATTGAGCTGCTTTTTTTACAAATGTCTACTTCTCACTCGGCGCCCAAATATTTAGAACTATTCTGTCAAATCTTGACTACAGTTCATTTGATTTATTTTGTAATCGAATTAAATTAACAAAGAAACTATGTAATTGGCACAATCATCGTGTTTCCACTCTCCGTTGTCTGCAGCAGAATGCGTATCCTAAATTCGTAGCTGTCCAGTCACCTGACAACTTCAGTAGGTCGAATAAAGCAGCTCAATTTTCAGAAAGAAGACAAAGTAATAAGTTTGACAGGGTGCTTCAACTAAACTCTAATCCTAAACACCATAATTTCGAAAATACGTCTAATCATAAAATTCTAGATACTAACAGTTTGAACCGACATGAAGGTGTGATGTTAGCTGACGCATAGGAAATCCTGACTAATAAATAAGGATGGGTATGTATCACTAACTAATAATACTAGGTCAAAGTTCCTGACTGTCTATATATACTCATGTAGACGTTAAGACATTGTTTTACAACTGTTTACCCGCTCACACACACATATATACACACTGTGTTTAAAGTGTTTAACAAAGGTAGATCAATATTTGTAAGTCTGAGGTCAAATTTTGATCACAACTCGTACAATTTTGTTTATTATACTTGTGTTAATATTTGTTTTATAAATCATGATTGGACAAAGTTTTTTAAAAACTAAAGATGTTCCTTTTATATATAAACCTGTTATGTTAATTTCGATTAATTTCCCTGAAGAAGTTCGGACCAGATTGCCGAACGAAACGTTGGAATTACTCATTTCAATATCGCTGAGATTTTACAAATATAATTTTTTACAAATGTCTACTTCTCACTCGGCGCCCAAATATTATAGAACTATTCTGTCAAATCTTGACTACAGTTCATTTGAATAAATAATTGTTAGTTCAACTTTAAATTATCACCACTGAATATTGACGTTTAATTAATTAGAATTGATTAAATGTCTTCATAACAGGATAGATATTCACTATTATCCATTTTACTGCTATTAGTGTGATTGTGATTACATAACTGTAATGTTGTTTTTTCTCCTAAAATTATGATTAAACACGCTAATTATAACAATGCGTCGTAGTTGATGGGATGTAAAGGATTTTTCATCGCGTGATATATATATATATATATTTTTTCTGTGTACATCTGATAATTATAGTTCAATCTATTTGCTAAATCATTTCAGATTAAAGCCTCTTGAGAAATTCAAAACTAATAAATCTTGTGCACTGTGGTAGAGTATAATTCCATTATGGGTAAATTTTTGTTTTGATAAAGTCTCACAGTGTTATACAGTAATGTTTACTGATGACGTTTCGAGCACAATTTATTGCTCATAATCATATCAAGGTATTCAAACGACTTCCTAACTTCATTTATATAGTTCCATTATTTTTCACTTGATTTGACTGGCAGTAGTATTTTCCATTTTGCATGTGTTTGGTGTAGACTCGATGGCGAAGTTAAACTTTCGACACCACTAACTACCAATCAGCGAGTTATCCAATGAGATTCACGAACGATGTCGAATTATCCAATAAGGTTCACGAACGCAGTTCAATGTTGTATAGCGCTTGATTCATTTCTAATGCGTGACCTTACAAAGCTATTGTTGCAATTCGAGGTTTTTAGCATTTTCCAGTATTCCCTGGATTTGAGTTGCGCCGGAAAGAGCGAATTTGTTTGTGTGGTGGTATCATGACTTTACAAAGCTATACCAAATCAACTGATGGGTTTGTTCATCGTTGTGCTATATGTTTGAAGCCTAATAACGCTAGAGAGAGTAAGCTGATAATTGTAATATTTCGTAGGAACTTTTTTCGCTAGGTCGCTTCTCTCCCTAAGGATAGCAGATAGAAAAGCAACTACTCTTATACCTATTATTACCAGACTTGTTAAGCGGGGGTCAATTATACACACCGACGAGTGGAAAGGCTACAATTCACTGTCATCTCTGGGATATATTCATCATACAGTCAACCATTCAAGTGATTTTGTGGATCCCGTTACGAGGACACATACAAATTCTATTGAAAGATTTTGGGGCAGGTTGAAAAATAGGATAAGGGCTATAAATGGATCTCATTTATGGTCATTTGGATGAATATTTGTACAGGATATGGTGTAACTTCTCCATTGACAGTCCCATGCTAAACTGGGAGATTTTTCTCTCACTTGTTCGAGAAAGATATCCCATGTAACTTTTTTATTCTCTATTTTATGCTTTTTTCTACAAATATACATTTCCATTCATCATATATGCCTCTTTAATGTGACTGGTCCGCTCAAGGTCGTTTGCTGATTGGTTGTTAGTGGTGTCGAAAGTTTAACTTTGCCGACTCGATAATCAAGGATTCAGTAATCAACCTCTCTCTCTACCTACCTAGATTACTTTTTAGAATTTCAACCCTCTCCCACCCACCCTATAGTGTGGTTGGGTGTTAATGCATCCATGCAGTGCAATTGCTGAGCTTTCTTCTAAATTACTTATCTTTTCAGGGTCAACCATTCTTACCTTAGCTAAATTCTTATGTTCCGACAATCTGACTACCCCTGACCTACTAGTTTGACCTATGTAGTTGACTTAGCTCACAGTCATTGCAGGGTGTTGTGTAAATTATATTATTTTGTCTAATTGGGTCAACCTATAGGGTCTTTTAACCTACACAGCTTGTCCCTGAGTGAGTTTGTAGAAGGGTTTAAATGCCACCCTAATTCCTGCTTTATTTAGAATCCTACGCAGGGAGTGTCTCAGATGTCCCCTCTTTATATGGTATAACTGTAGATGACTTGTATTCTCTCTTATTTGCGTTATTATTACTAGTTCCACAATTATTTTTATTTTTCGTTTGGCCTTTTTCAATCTTCCTAATGAATTTTAAAGGATAGTTATTGAACACCAACTCCTCTTCTGTCTGTTTTAGTTCATCATTTAGGTGTTTTCTTGTAGTACATAGTGCTACTGCTCGGTTTGTTAAACACTTAACTAAGGTTGCGTTAACAGTTAACGGATGGGATGAATTAGAGAAGTCTAAATATCTGTTAGAATGAATTGGTTTTCTATAAACACTAGTGTGTAGTTCGCCTTCTTCTATTGGTTTTATTTTACAATCTAACATAGCTAAAATGAACAAGGAGAATTAGCTAGGCTTTGTCTTACACAGTTTTCAATAAATTCGATTATTCGGTTTTTCTGTAAGTTGTAAAGCTCTGAAAACTTTTTATCATACGTAACTGGTAATTTCGCTTTTATTCTGATCATAGCCTAGGTGGTTTCGTTTGACACATTTTTTGTAGTGTAGTCGACAAGGAAATCAGTGTTAATATTATGATTGTCACGAATGGAACTAGCTCATAATTTGAGTGCTTTACATAATCCCGCTCATAAACCACCACTCTTTCTATGTACTTGCAGAGGTAAAGGACACAGTCTCCCCAGTGGTGCATATTATGACCATGAAGAGTTTTTATCATTTCTAAATATGACCAGTGATCAGTTACTTCAAGAAAAAGAGACAGAATTATCCTATTTACAAAATATAAACGAAGAACTCCATGAACAGATTGACGTAAGTGATTATTATATTTTCCATCCTTTTTCTATGTATGACACAAATTTGGGCTTAAACTATGCACACAGGTGAAAATCACCCTCTTCGATTCCCTATGATTTAAGAATTATGCATTGAAGACTATTGCTAACACGAGTTAAAATCATTAACAATGGTTCAGGTGTATTCATTCCTTCTTATCGTCCAGATTCTGAAAATTCTGTAAATTTTTGTCTTACACTTTTATGCTCTTATCTCTGAAGTATAACAGCTTGAATTCACACAGTTTTGTACAAAGCCAGGTACAGTAGTGATATTAGTCCGTCCACAATAGTAGCGTACATATAGTAAATAAAGGAAGATTTAACAGTGGGACAACTGTAGTAATCAAAACTGTGGTTAGAAGTTTATAAAAAACTAAGGAAATTAAGTTACGGCAAATTGACTATAAATTACTAACTTTTACCTGATATCTGCATTGTCATGTAGTTTTTAACTACGAATCCCGGTGGGTGCATACTGCTGAAGAGTCCCAAATTAGGGCGAAGCAGCTGTCCAGTACTCCCAGCTGATTTTCCAATGGTTCTCTAACTAATTTATTTATTTTATTTTTGATTACAGCTTGACTCCACACCGTATTTTTGGTACAAGTGTGGAATTTTCAGCGTGGATATCGGTAGCCCAAAATTCGCAGGCCGACCATAGATATCAGGTGTGCGTCGGCGTGGGCTCGAACCCCGGACCGTGTGCGTGGTCGGCGAGAGTCCTAACCACTGTGCCACCGACGCATCAGCTCATGATGAAATCCTGTAAACCAATCAAATCCCTACAAACCAACACTTGAATACTAGCTATCTTTTCTTCGTAAGCACCAGTCACACACAGACCAAATCATTCATGCGAAATTTTGAAGCTCCTATCTTTCCTTGACTTGGTCATTTTTCCAGTGCTTGTTTCACTGTCTGTAGCACTGTGTTATTGATTTCAAAATATTAGGTGAATTGTAGTAAACTAGGAAAAGAAGACCCACAAACACTCCACTTTATCCTAAACTGTTTCAACAGTGTCGGCTGAGTGACAAATAATTTGAATTAAGTCTTGCTAGAATGATAAATTATTGCATATCGACTGACTTTTTGGAGCTGTGAATTACTGGCTTAAGTAGTAGTTAACTTTCAGTCAGTTGGTCCTGGCTTTCAGTCTTGCTCCAACATTATATACCTCAATCGGACAAAAACTAGCAAAAGAAACCATGGAGCAATTACTTAGCAACGACGAACACCTTCCACAACAATCAAAAATGCAACACACAAGCTGGATGGAATGCATAAATCTATGCCTAACAACATACTTCCAATTCAACGGTCAAATGTATGAACAAGTCAAAGGAACACCCATGGGATCGCCAATATCAGGTTTAATTGCAAAAGCAGTGATGCAAGGACTCGAAAACATAATTCTACCAAAGATCAAGCCAAAGATTTGGATACGTTACTTTGACGACACATTTGTAATAATCAAAAGAAACGAGTTAGATGAAACTCAACTTAATAAACAACGTCTTCAACGACATCAAATTCACAAGAGAAGAAGAACCTGAGAACCAAATCCCACTTTTGGACGTCTTAGTCGGGCGAACAACCACAGGGGAATTAGGAACTCAGGTTTATAGAAAATCAACTCACACAGACCAAATCCTGAATTACAACAGCACGCAAAAGGAACTGCATACAAACACTATTCAAGAGAGCAAGGACTCATTGCAGCATTCCTACCTTAAGGAAAATTGAAGAAAAATATCTCATGGACGTCTTCCAAAAGAATGGATATCCGCGGAATTTCATCAAAAGACAGATACCCCCAAACCAACCTATCTAACCAAAGGCCCCCAAGGAAAGCACAAAGAAAATTGCCTTACCATATATAAAGCATATCTCAGAAATCACTATATGACTCTCCAAACCTTTAGGAATTGACATCGTACATAAACCAACAAAGTCACTTCACTCAATTCTATGTCAACCAAAAGACTCAACAGCGAAAGAAGATAAAAACAACATCATCTACTGTCGTGAGAGCAGGCCGTTAGAAAATATGTACAAGGCTGATTCAACAACCAATCACAGCAAAGTTAACGTAGCAAAATATGATTCGCAGATAGAGAACTCTATTTTTCGAGGGATCCCGAAGCAACCAATCAGAAGCCTGCGTTTGTCTGCCTAACTTTTGATAAACAACCAATCAGATGACTTCGCTTGTCTACTTGCATAAGCTATAATAATGTATGTGAAATATGTATAAATACGTGTTGATTTTCATAATAAAACGATCTGTTGCCTGGCCCTTGTCTTCTGTTGTTACACTACAAAATAAATTGTAACAACTGCGAAAAGCACTACATTGGCCAAAGTGGACGTCCCCTTCGTCTTCGTATCCACGATCATACGCTAGCCGTAGAAAGACATGATATCCACTCCTCATATCACTACATACAGACAACCACGGACATCGATTCGACTGGGACAACTAGCGTTCAAATATTAGACAGAGGAAACAACAAGAATCCTAAAGAATTTTTAGAAGCGTGGCATTCCAGTGAGTCATCAATCAATAGACACATCGAGATAGACAAAATTTATCAACCGATAAGAAAAAAAACCTCACACACACACAAAGAGTCAAAGTTCAAGTCAAAGAACATCTGGTCAACACCTCCCACAAAATCTCAACCGATTCTTTCAAAGTGATTTACAAAGTCAACAGAAACCTACCAAAAGCAATATGTTTCCGACTTCTTTGTACTGCAGAAGCCCTCGCAATATGCATCGAGAAGCCGGAGCTGTGTGTTCAAAAGAAGTTAGTCCAACCTCTACCTCCAAAGCCTCAGGATGGTCGGGGGTGGGTGTATTGCGCTGCGGGTTGGCCACCCCTCCGTACACCTCTTGAAATGCTCCCATATGACCGTGCGTCTTACATAGCCTCTCCTGAGGAAGTCCTACTCACTGCCTTCACGTGGCGGAGGTGTTTCTCACCGAAGTGAGAGGGCAAAAGCGGATGCCCGGCGCTCTCCACCGGGTTGACTGTCCATTGGATGACAGTCTAGGGGAGATGGCTAAACCCTAATTCCAAACCTCCAACGACTGGCGTATGAAGCTCACCGGAGCTCACCGGCAGACGTATGGACAAAGGGCTTATTGGATGCCCTGGATGTCTGGCCCCATTCAAAAAGGCATATGAACCGGACTCCGGTCACTGGCTGCCAATGGATAGTGGACTCCCTACTCCACTCCTACTGCCTTGTAGGTCACACTTGGTTGTGTGAAGGCTAGAGCTGCACTCTCAAACAAAAAGCCGAGCGATTCTGGGGACATCACTCGTACCCAATTCCCATGAAACTTCATGAACTCATGAAGCCGGCTCATCCTCCCGTAGGAGATAGCCGAAGTAAAGTAAGTAAGTAACTACCATGGACCTAGCTTAAAGAAACAATCAGCTCCAATACAAGTAACCTGGAAGGTGTGAAAAGACACAAAAGCAATCAATCACGTCAAAGGTCAGGCCACCAGGAGAGATGATTAATAAACTCGTGGAGAAATCTAAAAGCTCACTTCAAATTGAAATATTCGCTGAAGATGTCGCCTAGTGACGAGGGCGATGAAAGCTTCGCAAATTAACTATTCAGCTCAGAGAACACAACCACATCAAAATCATCCACCTGAGCTACAAATCTTCTCTATCACATCAAAATCTTGCTCCGCCTGGTGCATGAGAATTCTATTTTGGGTAATTGAATTGTAACACAACAATACCAAAAAAAATACTCAAATTCAAAATCGTGGTGGGATTATTTATTTATATAATATATGAAGAAGAATTAATCTGTAGAATGCCTTTTTGTGAAGTTATCCAGTTTTTTTGGAAAGGAAATTTATTCTTTATTCTTCAGTTCTTTTGTAAAGTGTTCACTTCAGCCTGAAATAATAATCAAAATGAATATCTTCAAAATCCACTATCCATGGCTAACAGTAGCGCATTTATATAAAGTCCGTTGTGGTTTCATAATTTAAATCTCATAAATTTAAATGTTTAAATCACAAATTATGGTTTACTAAACGTAAAGAGCACTCGAAATTATTTGCAGTAACGTTGAATAAAGATAAGCTACCAACCATTACTTAGCGATATAAATTTGCGTGTTATATATTGTTCAGTTAGGATTTCAGGTTACACTATCAAAATTGTAGGCATTTTTAAAGATTTAACTCCAGAGACCTAACTTTTAAGTAAGTCGATAAAGGTAGCATTCACAACAAACCTGTATATGCATCTAAGCTTCGAGAGAATCGAGGTTTCACATTCACATTTCTTGTGCCTCCTCACGAGAACCCTTCGGCATCGGCATCCGTCTTAAATGCCTTCACTTTCGTGCTACACGCTAAAGCTGAAGATACATTGCCCAACTAACAGTCGTTTATGTATTTTTAGGATGCGTTATGTGAGAGTAAGAAGTTAATGGTTAGTAAAGCCTTGCATTTCTGTCGTCTGTGCCTATACACTAATGGATTGCAACCCCCGAAGGGTGTTTTCTACTATCACTTTAGCGTCCCTCTCAAGCAGGCATGCTTGATATACTTATATTGTAGTGCTAGAACTATCTCTTTCAGCTACGTGCAGATTACAACCCATTTATGGGCATCACGAACTTCTACCACACATGTCACCGTTAATACTCACTTGCCGTCTTTCCTCTTCCATTCAGACTTCAATTCACATAGGTCACATTGCGCTGTTAGCCACTGATGGGGTAGGTACATACAGAACTAACTTTCCATCTGTAACACTTTTGTAGATTCTAGTCGTGCGTCATTATTATGTGGCAGTTATGTGTTGTGTTCTGATGCTTCTGTTACAGTCTGAAATGTACTTATGACAACAATATTTGATACAAGACAGATGTGTGAGTGAGAACAAAGTAAGTAAGCGGAGAGCATTTGAAACAGGAGACTAGGTGAAGTCTA